AATCCGATGTACACAGTGGGAGATATCATGAAGCGGTAGGTGTCAATTGAAAACCTGAACCATACTGCTCATTCGCTGCCTGAACTTGGCAAAAGTGTTTCCTCGTCAGAGTGAAAGAAACAAAGAGTACATCCAGGACGTAACCAGATAGGTGAACTATTAACACCTCACCTAGGCGAGCTGGAATCAAACCCCTATTCCAAACCAGTCAAGAGAAAAAAACGTACAAATCACACCTGCCTGGTTCATGGTGTGCCACTTAATTGGACATTGAGGTGCATTGGGCACCTTGAACGTTTACTATCGTATAAAGCATGTCCACGTCGATAAATGTGACACCTCCCCCCGAATGGATTACGTACTCTAAGCTCCTTCATATTGTCTTCCAGATCTTAGATTTTAGGTAAAACCTTCAAATGTGTGAACACTCGAGTTATTTCCCTTCTCTAATCAGGATAACCGGGAACTAACATGTCCGCATTACCTGTTTAGACCCTTCCGCCAATTTTTATGTATGTGACTGGTTACATGTAAAGTACTCTGAATCTGATTGATACATTGCCGATTCTCCTGTATCCGTTCGCTCAGTGGATGCGAAAGCCATATTCAGTGGATCGCGTGCCTCGGAACAGTTCAAAGATGTACCGGAATGGAAACGTGCCGTACAGGGAGGCACACGAACCGGAGCGGTGGGCAAGAAGATTGTTCGTTCGCTTTTGGAACAGCGTCAAAGTTTGCCGATTTTTAAACTGAAAGATGAATTGCTCAGTGTAAGTGCATGGATGCATTTCGCTTGTCTTATTGTTCTCGTTGTTTTTGTTGTTGTCATCATCGTCGTCGACATTGTAGCCTTGAGAAGAACATGCATCCATACTTTTATCACATATTATATAAACCGGAATAAGTCACCGGATGGTATAATGTTCCATATTAAATAATCATCCGATTACGATAGAATACTGGCATGGATCTGTTCAGTTCAGTTCAGTTTGTATAACCAATAACCATGCACTGTAGTGCACGGGTTTTGGTTGCCCGTTTAAATAAACTTTAGGTGAAAGACAGGAAAGGTTGAAAGTTGAATCGAAGAAAAGATTGAAAAGTACAGTGGATTAATGATACAGAGAAATTGAGAGGATGAACGAACACCACTGTTTACGACACCCAGCCATATAACTCGGTGTCTCTAACCACCGGTTACGACCATCCCCAGGTCCCCATCCAGGGAGCCTAACGGGACCAGTGTGACCTAGACTCCTGGTTAGGGTTTTCATACCCTCATGCCAGGTCTTAGCATGACCACCCTTGGCTTTCTTACTCCCACTACTTGCCTCGGCGAACATCGCTCGCCGTGGCGCATGGATCTGTACGAAATCTGTACGAGTTGGCTGATCCTGAAGATTGACAGAACTAACTGTGATAGCTGATGCTATTCGACTGCGTTGTGTGCTCTGTTCAGCTACTCTGCAATAAAACTTGATCCCGATACGTGAGTAGTTCCCTTACTTCTAATTATCGTGCGATGTGGTGTTGTCACGGAATAACCTAACGTGCGAATACGCTAATGCTTCCATATTTGAATTGATTCAAATAAAACAAGGATTTCTCTTTATCGCGTCTTACTTTATTTAACTGCGGCTGGCTCCTTGAAAAGGATAAGCCGGCTCCAAACGTGATCGTGATCATGAGGTTACTTAGGAGTTTGGTACGAGAGCCGTCCCTAGTGTCACTCGGTGTTTTTTTTTATTTTGAGGGCGCACCTTTAGCCTTTGTACAACCAAGTTCGAACTGCAACGCAGCAGGAAGTAATCCCTCGCCTCCTAAGTAAGGGGGTCAATGACTTCAGTTTTAAAAGGCCAGTCACAGATCTATGTCACGACACCGTCATCGGGCTTATGCGGCTTTTAAGCAGGAGCCAGGTGACCAGCCTGAAACCCACCACACCCTGATAGTGCCACCGCTGTTTGTTCGCGATTGCTTACTTGTAGCGGTATGCCACAACTTATTCACAGCTAAACTTCTTCGGCGAAGGTATCCCCCTATCCACAACCCGGGGACGCGCCTGGTAGCGTTCTTAACATCGCGTCTTGGCGCCCAACCGATCCAATACAAATCAGTAACAAACCTTAACAAATAGTCCGGATATGCCTGCCTAACGAGCGGCAAGAACCGCAAACCCGGTCGTGCGCTTCTAGTGGAATTTTGTCAGGTAATCTAAATTGTACTTAATTTAGCTATATATATGACTGGGGCTTCTGATTGACTGGATTTTGCCAGCTTTTCTGTACAGCGTAAATCATAGTTTAGTCATCTTTTATACACCAAGCAGCAGTAGACTAATCCCTTCTCTTGCCGGAAAAGTTACCGTTCTAGCTGCTAAGTACTGTCTTTTAGGTAGGAATTTCTCTAGTGAACGAATTCCGGGCACCGCTTCGTCACTTATGGTGACGAAATACTTTCTGTTTATTCGATGTGGTTGGAATATACCTACAAATAGTTCATTCGTTTTTTTTTCACTGTGTTTAGAATGGTCAACATAACTGTATTTATGTACTCCAACTCCGAATAAAAATGCGGTTTAGCGAATAAGTTCAATTTCGGCGGCTACTTATCAACTGGCTAATACGTCACATTTTACGTAACAGTTTTGGATCTCACACTTTACCGGACTCTTTCGCCTTGATAGATAATCGGAAACGTAAATGTGGATAGCCGACAAATGATATCCATGGACGTTAGCTCACTTTTCACTAGTGTTCCTATCGCAGAGACCATTGAATATTTATGTGACCAAATAATAATAATAAATAATATCGAAATTGCAATACCCCTGGATGACTTGAAACAGCTATGGTACTTCTGCCCACAGAAAGTTCAGTTTAAACTCAATGACGAAATCTATCGCCAAAAGAATGAAGCAGCAATGAGATCCCTGCTTGGTCCTCCATTTGTTTCTGCGCAAGCTAGATAATGTAGTTTTGAAGTCCTCAATTAAACGATTGAAGCTGTACAGACGACATGTCGATGACGTATTATGTTTTATGGACAGAAACGTTAAGGTGTCCGACTTGCTCAAGATATTTAAGTCTGCTCACCCCAATATTGAATTTACTTTGGAAGAAGAGGTTAATGGCGGGATTGGTTTTCTCGACATATGGTTCTTTTCATAGCTCGATTGATAGAAAACTGATTTAGAGCGACCAGTATCTCCATTTCAGAAGTTTTGTGCCACTCAAACGAAAAAGAATTCTGATTCCGTGTTTGGTAACCAGGGCGGTAGAAATATGCGGTACTGACATTCATTTATAATGTTTTCCTGCAAAACAGAACGTTTTGTGGATAGCGATTCACGAAATAATCGTTCAAAAGAGAGACTTTTAAATGCATAGAAGAAGTCAGTATACATCTCTCCCCCATTCATAGAGGACACAAGCGTGGAGTTGATTAGGCATAAGCTAAAAATGCGTTGAAGAATACTTTCGATGGCAAAATTCCATGTCGCATTCACGTCCACACCTATCTTGTGTTCGCAACTCAAAGACGGGATTCCTGCTTCTGCAGTCACATTTTCTGTGTACCTGTTTATGTGTCCCTGTGGAACAACGTATATCAGCCGCACGAGCAGGTGCCTGTCTACAAGAGTTCGAGAGCATCATCTAGTTGAACTGTTGTGTAAATAAAACTATTACAAGTTCCATCGTATCACATCACGTCAAATCCGATCACATAGGGAGTGTGAATGAAGCATTTCGGCCTCTACCGTGTTCGGGGCCGCCAATCTAAGCCGATTAAAAATCGCATCCTAGCCACCGCGGAGGCGGTTGCAATTCATCCACACCATCNATCTCCCTTTGTGCCCCCAAAAAGCAATTTATGAAATCACTCAACCTACCATGGCCCTCCGCCTCCCATCCTCATCAAGTAACACGGACCAAGCGTATGATCCGATGGTAAGAACAACCATATTTGGTTAGTGAAACTGAGACGGAAAACAACAACAACAGTCTCCATTTGACTATTCATTTATTTGGTTTTTCTCGTACAAAATGATGATGTTATATAAAATGTGATGTATTAGCCAGTTGATAAATCATCGAAAATAAGCTTGTTGGCTAAATTGCGTTTTCATTCAATGCCTGTCTCTGGTATACTCCAACTTCCTTAAACGGTCTCGAAGATCTGGTGAACTAACACGATTCACGGTGCTCAAGCAGTCGAGGACGGACAACGTCTTATTCAGTTGGTGTATTTGTTTGGCACGTCTACCGATAGACATTGGAGCATAGTTATCGGGGGTGGGTGGGAGATGAATTTAGTATTACCCTCGGGGCAGCCTTTGTATGGTCGTGACACCCTTCTTGAAATGTGACTGTACATTTCAAACGTGTTAAAATAGTTCATGAATCTGAAAAACATTTTGAATACCTTAAAAAATAGACTAACTAGATCGTACCAAGGTCCGTCGTTTGGGCCGATAGAACGAGTCTCTACTGTGTAGCCAAACGTGCTATGTAAAATGGAAATATGAGGCACATTGGTGTCCGTAGAACTTTGTCCTCTCTGTTTGCCACGTTCTTCGATCCAGATTTTTTCCAATCAGGTTGTGTTTTTCTCTAAATTTCCCGATACGTTGTACAGACGGCAACTAGAACCGCCGCAGGTCCCAGGTTGATTCAACTGTTCTGAATATGCTTCACTGTCCTACCGATCGAGAACAAGTTCAATCTCTGCCGTATGGGGCTTTTCTCGATTGATGACCGGGTCCCCATGGCGTGATTCAGTATTACTCCTCCATTCCACTCCCAGTTGTGGTTGTAAACCTCACATTATTTTTTTGTGATAAATCACAATGATCACAATAGGTCTTTGTCACATTGAGGTTGATCCCTTCGGCTATGGTTTGTTACCAGATGACGACGAAGAAGAAGCTACACAAAGTACAGCAATAAACACGACAATCGAAATACCATCGTTTTACACGTTGTTCTCTCTCTCTCCTCCTCTTCCCTTGTCCCTTGATAGGCGGTCCACGATAACAAAGTGTTGATTGTCATTGGGGAAACCGGTAGTGGAAAGACTACCCAGATTACTCAGTACTTGGCTGAGGCTGGCTACGTGAATACCGGACGTATTGGATGCACTCAGCCCCGTCGTGTAGCCGCCATGTCCGTAGCCAAACGGGTAAGAGCTTACTTCACTTCACTGTCAATCAGTCACGGTGCATATTTTCCTGAGCAGTCTGATCCATTGTACAAACTGTCAGTAGTTATTAAATCAATTGAATGCTTTTTTTATTACACACATTTACGTGATGAACAACAGACGAGGTAAACCCCATAGTCACGAAGACCTACTGTTCCGTCATGGAAACCGGTCACCAGGACTTGGAGTGGCAAACCACTTAAGACCCCACTAGGTTAGGTGTGGTATGGAACCAGACGACAGCAAAGCTGCCAACCACCAAAAGTGAGGAGCTCGAATCTCCGACCATAGGATCCAAAGCGCACGAGTCACAGCGACTAAACCCATGCCGAAGATGTTCGCTGCTAAAGGACACATTTTGAAATCGTTGCGGTCTTTTGTATCGAGCATTTGCAGTTGGGCTCGCTTGTGATCTATAATGTGGTCACTGGACGTGACCTCTGGGATACCGAATCGTAATACTGTGTATGTATTACTGTGTGTGTATGTGTATTCTTGAACCAGATTGAACGACTGCTCCGTGAATTTGAATGGTATCTGATCATTACAGACAAAACTAATAAAAACAAGAATGCACAATAATATGCCAGTTCAGAGTCGGGTTCTTGTATTTTATTTTCAAACTAAACTTAATGGTCAGTATCATTCATCCGTGTTCAGTCTGCCTGTACACGTTCTGCTGATTCGCACGCATTGAGAATGAACGGAAACGGTGAAACACAATGGTGGACAGGTTGTCTCTCGCCTCTCTGGCACGGGTGAGGATGTCCCGTATTCTGCTTCTACTATCACACTTAATTGACTCGGTTGCTGACAAAACAGAAGGCGGTTAAAACTGCACAACTCAAATCAACTGATTAGTGATCTCAATGTCCCCGATTTGTGACTGTGATATTCTACATAGTTTTCTCACATTATTATTATTATATCCTTTTGTAATTATCGCTACGAACACAAATGTCCTAATTGACAACAGCGTCATGAAAAATTGGGCGATTTACTTGCATGAATTGGTTAATGGTTGTAAAAACTGGAACAGAAACAGGTACCGTTGCAATGCGTAGAAGACAACGAGACCGTCAGTCCTTGGTTGTCATCAACAGCCGAACAAACTGCGTTTCGGAGAGTTCGCCGGCTAGCTGAGCTGTTCATTTGAAAGATCGGGGTGCGTGATTCAGACTTGTGGAATCGATCGGAGATTTAATGATCTTATCCAGAAATTTGACCCTACTGGAACAGTCGATCATACAACCCCCATTTCCGTCATACTATCGGATATGAAGCCGAATTTAATATTTACACGCTTTTGGATCACGGTGTCTAAGAAGTTGCGTTTGTCGTCACCGAAATCCCCCAAAGCCATCATTATACCCAGCGCTATTTGAACCCGGGCACAAGAGGTTCCCAATCCGACACGCTAGCCGTTTTTCGTCACTCTTGTTCACATTACCGAGTCAGCCTTAGTCTTTATGGTCAGATGCAGTCAGTTCATGTGATCGAAGCCGACTTCTGTGTAAGCGGTTCCACTGAGCATCGCGATGGACGTATTTGTCGGTAGCAAAGATTTTCGATGCGTTTCGTTCGAGGTGGTCGCTTTACTCCTTGTTGTTGTTGTTGGTCGCAACTGAATTGGGTGACATTGTTTTGGGGGTCTGTTATCAGCTTGACCGATCGTCACACCTCGGTAGTGTATCCGTTTTGTCGTGACTTTGCCGAAGACAGATCAAGTGGGTGTTGGTCATCCCAACCATAATCGGTAGAATGATTCAAAGGCAATCGTATGATGCGTTTGTACTACGGTAACTAGTCACCAGATTCGATACACATCCTAACTAGTGCTCGTTCCAGTCGGTGAGTCATGATTGTCTGGGTTCGAGAGGAAGGTCTATCCCAGTTCACTTTATACTGTCATTCATTTCTCATTCGCGTGAATCGATTGCCTGTTGACTGTACTGGTCGCCAGATACATTCATGTCATACGGTGTTTCAAACCGTTGTTAGACCGGTCCCGAAGTCCCTTATTGGAGATGCATAACTTGATCGATTTCCCTCGTAAAGTTTGAAGTGCATTTTAACAAACCCTGTTCCACAACGAGCAACAACCTTGGATCATAATTCAAAGCGGCTTTGCGTACACATAGATTGCATTTGGGCTTCCAACGGTGTCACCTGTACGACTACTGCTTGATTACTGACCATTGTGGTGTGCTCTGAAAATCCTACGACTCAAGCAAACAGTTTACGCGAAATGACTTTAAAATGGTGAAACATTCAGTAAAAATTCTCTGGGAAGTTTGCGTCCACTGATTCGTTCGATTTAACGTTCCATATGCATAATTATCAATTTTCACGATTTCCTGATCACAGTGTCTTGTACAAGATTTTGCACTTTGCTACTTGTAAGTAGCTGGAATATGCTATGCGAAAAGTATCAAATTCAAAAGATCGCCTTATTCATCCTGATGAACGGATTCTCAGCTTCTTGCACACTAGGATCACTTATCATCGCATGCTGTCACAAAGAAAATTTGAAAAAAAACAGCATCGTAAATTCAAAGAAATGTAGGGTAAAAGTTTGAAAATGACTATCAATTGCGTAGGAAATTCAAGAAGTTTTCCCTAACGGATGCTTTTTGAGCCAGAAATTTCGAAAGATAGGGGATGACGGACAAACGATAGACAGTGGTACGAGCATACACCAGTTTATAACGACATCTAGTTACAGAAGTGGATATGCATTCTTGAAGTTCTCTGTTTAATGAGTGAGTGGTGTCTGATAGAATATTGTTGCAGACGTTATCGCAAGAGGTAAAATGTTTATCGGGGATAAAGTTAAGCAAATAAGGAATACCGCTTGTGTGAGAAATAATCTTAATAGACCGGTGTAGAATTGTGTAATCTTTAGCTCTAAGATCANAAGATCAGCAAATAAAACTGGGGAGCAGTAGAGAAGATTAGTAACAACACAAGAATATACAAATCGGGTTAGTAAATACAGTGGAACTTTTGAAGAACGTAAGCGTAGTTTAAATGTGAAGTCCAGGTCAAATCTTAGGAGATAGTGATAGAATGTACTAGAGCAACAGGCTGGTTGTCAACATAGAGTACAGAACAATTCCTTTCAAAAGAATGTAGCCGTTCTCCTGTGGCTAGCGAGAAGGTAAAATCCCTACATTTAGAGGCACTGATAGATAACTTGGAGGACGAAGGCTATGAGCTTAAGGCAGATAAACTGGTTTGAAGCTGTGAGAAGCGAAAATCACCTTGGAATCTGGATCCTATGGTGAAATCATCAGCATACTTAATAAGAAGACCATTTGGTCAGTGGGTAGATCACGAAAACTGAAAGAGAAAAGAAAAAGGGACAGAATTGCTCCCGGGAGCACCCCTGAATTGACCGATATGGAGTCATAGGTTTTTCCAAGAAATTTCCTGAAGTGTGTTCTTCCAGCAAAATAATCTTGGAGTAGAGACAAAAGCCTACTTCTGTCAGCACAGTTAGGAGTATTACGATAGTCGAGGAGACAGACACGAAATGCTGTGCCGTGCATGTCCAGGGATCGCAAAACTGAGTTTATCAAATGTGCAAGAGCACCTAAGGTAGAACGTTGTTTGCGACAAGCGAATTGATTGTTATCTAGCTGCCCAGTTTTAGGAATAAAGTTACTAAGCAAAAGCGTTTCGAAAATGTTTAGTAAAACAGAAGTGCCGGCAGTTGCTCGTAATTTTTCAGCTTGTTTTTTGGGATTGGTCTGATGCGCACAGGTCTTCAACAGTCGACAATTTTTTGTTCCTCGAAGCAACGGTTGAAAATACCGGCAGGTGGCTCCACCAGGTAATACACGCATTCCCTGAGGATGACTAGACATAGTCCGTCGGGACCGGAAACTTGATGTTTTGAGGTACGTCAGCTGTGCCCGCACCTGATTAGAATTGACGTGTGAAACTTCATGATGGTCGACTGATTGGAAATATGGATGCGATACTTCAGTTTGAGTAGACGTGGAAAACATGCATTTGAGTTCATCTGCTGTGGGCTGGGGCCTGCGTGGTCCGGCTTTTGTTCCACAGAGTTTTTTCATAGCACCCCGGATTTGCTTGCAATTCTGATCGCTAAGTAGGGTTTCAGTGTAGTTTGTCAAGATTTTAGATCTCGCTCTTGATCACCACTGGCTTTTGTTTAACTAAAGCTCGGTTACGATTTTTATATGCCCGTTCATGGGTTCTTCTAAGGGTCTTCAAAGTAGGGAAAGAAAATCTGACGGGACTGATGTACATAGGGGGTTGTGGGGTAACAGAGGTCAAAGCAGAAGTTCGAATAGCTCGTGAGGTGTTCACACTCGACCGAGACACTTGGGTCAAACAACTGACCAAAATTTGTTCGAGAGACCATTTCTCTCAGTTATGCCAAGTGGGCCGGGTTGCAAAGCCTATGAAAAATCGTCCGGCTGGATGTATGTGTCAGTGTACTATGATGTTTCTTTGAGTAGACTTGGTAAAACATTTATGACACAATGATCGGAGTTTGCCAGAGGGGCTGCTCTTCGCACAGCAAACAGGTCAGGATCGTCTGAAAACATAAGGTCAAGCTGCGCGTTTCCTCTTGTGGGGAAATTTACTGGATTATGAAGAGGGAGGCAAGTCAATAAATGAATATCTGCTTGGTTAAAATCACCACTAATAATAAAGAGAGAACGTTCCGTGTAGTTAGAAAGTTCGGATATAAATACATCAGCAAACGTCTGTACATCAGAATTTGCACTGGAGGATGCGATATAAATGTTTGTTTGATGCCACAATGAAACGATATTTACTAAGAAAACAGGGTTTACATTCAACCGAAGTATATGAAATATATCCTACGTTCTAGGTGAAGACTTACACTAAAACGATTGGGTGTAGGTTATTAGACTCCTGCCTCGATTTCGTAGTAAACAGCATCTAGCCAACCGATGCATATAAAAAAATCCAGCTCGGCCAAGGAGTCGTTGATGTCAGGATGCAACCACGTTTCTTGCAGCATGACTATCCCCAATGCATGGTATTTTTCGTCCTTGTCAGTTTCGTCAACTCGCTCATTTTTGCAAATAGTCATCGTACGTTTGATGAGCAAATAGCAGGGATAGATATCTTCTGAGGTTTTGTTTTCAAGCCACATGCCAGCTTGCTTGGTGTTTTCTGAGGAAACCTTGCTTAGATTGCATTTTTTACGTTTATTTTTAACTTGATTACTGAACTGATAAAGAAAGCCACTCCTGCGTGATATCACATAATGTTTCAGGTTCTTTAAAGATTCCGGGGTGTAGGTGATTATGAAAAGCGATGAAAGAAACTTGATTCAAACAATTAAAAATCCCATATGTGACGTAAACGTTGATAAATTATCCACTGGCGCACAAATGTCACACACTCTCCGAATTTATATTCCAGGTTTCCGAAGAATTCGGTTGTCGTCTGGGTCAGGAGGTTGGCTACACAATCCGGTTCGAGGATTGCACTGCCCCAGAAACCAAGATCAAATACATGACCGACGGTATGTTGTTACGTGAGTGCCTGATTGATCCGGACTTGCGTCAGTACACGATTATCATGTTGGACGAGGCACACGAACGTACCATTCACACCGATGTCCTATTTGGTCTATTGAAGAAGGCGATCCAAAAACGAGACGATATGAAACTGATCGTCACATCGGCCACTTTGGATTCGGTCAAATTTTCACAGTACTTCTTTGAAGCGGTAAGCATCAAGCAGCCAAATGATGATTGCTCCAATAGGGAATTGCGTTCCATTCACTCACTCACTCTTCCTTCAAAATTAGGGCCAGACTGATCCGGATCAAGAGGCCCGATTGCTTTTGGGGAACAAACAAACGAGTTTTTTAATTCGTGATTGTTTGGCTATCGGTTTCAATCATTTGTTCCCCTCATTCTGACCGTTTCTCTGCTCCAACCCATACTGATCCAATGAGCCTATTCTGTGTCTCATTTGTCATTGTTTTGAGGTGTTAAACCTGCTGTTTTTTATGCTATTCACATGTACAGGGCTTCACGTATCTGAATATTAACATACTCACAAGTGTCATGGCTCTGTTTCCTAAGGACACTGTGTTCTCAACGCGCAGACTACCGTCTAAATGATGGGTGTTCGCCGCAAACGCGGTGAAATAATGGGAATAAAGTGAGACAATATCAAGTTGACCAAATCACATGAGTTGTTGATCTACTGATGGTATACGAGCATGTGTCCTAATACAGTGCAATTCCTCTGTTTTCAGCATTTACTTCTATCCTTCAGTTCCGTCCGTCTCCTTTTCGTTGAATAGGATTGATCGTCCACTGGTGTAAGTAGTCGACCTTCATAGATTACGGTGGTTGGGACATGTGCTGCGCATGTCACCAGGTAGATTGCCATGGTAAGCGATGTTTGCTGAGGCAGGTATCGGTTAGAAAAAGATCAAAAGTGGTCCAAATAAGACCTGGCATGAGGGTATGAAAACATTAACCAGGAGACTGGGTCACATAAGTCCTGTTAGGCTCCCTGGCTGGGGACTCCGAGATCATGGTCGCCGATGGTTAGAGACACTGAGTGATACGGCTGGGTGTCGCAAACAGTGGCGCTCATGCATCTACTCATTATTCTTGTAGCTTCAGTCTTTATGAGTGCACTATCCTCCGCTTGAATCTGCTCTCAACATTCCAATCTTCATTCTACCAAAAGACAGGAACCAAAACCGGCGCACGAAAGTGCCTGATTAATGGTTGTAAGAACTGAACTGAACAAAGTCGAGTTTGTGCTATCCCTAATTTTCAGCATGATCCGATCAGGATTACTCTTGTCCTCGCATTATTCCAAAGGGATTTATCCCCAATTTCAGAATAGAGTCATTACTTTTTTTTGATCCGACGAGAGAGTAATTGATCGGAAATTTGATAGCAAGTTTCGGTCATACGTTCCATACTACATTTTAAAAGAGTGATGTATACTGAACTGAAACCTCACTAATCGTACTAGCCTGAAGGATAGTCGAATGTACAGTTTGATTTTGTANGACGTCTCCCCTCCCCCTTCTGTTTCTCCGTATCAAACCGTATTTGCTAGAAACAATCTAGTTTACGGTACAATACACCATAACATTTTTTCTTAGTTGAAAGCCCTCTACCATTATCTGATTAGAACCCAAAATATCAACGAAAGGCTTATGCGGTTTTCCGTAGTAATTTCGCCAAACTAGATCGACTACTTGGCCTGACAACAAGTTGTATTGACCTATCTATGAGATCACGTGGCTCGTGTGCACTGTAGCATGTGATATAGCCAGATTTTCAACTCTCTTTCGGTGACCTTCAATCGTATCGGTTGCACTTTGTAGCTTACCGAATCCACGACGAATGTGGTCAGCGCAACAACCCACTGAAAGAACTACTCTATTCTCTGTTGCATAGGAATCGGTTTACATGAAATAGCCAGGTGTTTGGATCAAACAGTATAGCTCGTCTATCCACTAATAGATAAGTTGTCTTCGCATGACGTTTGTCGTCCGTCCCCACGAAAATTTTAGACGTGGCTTTCCCTCAGCTCGCCTATCGAGCGGTTTCCGTTGCTTAGTCGCTTCGTGCATACTTCGGCTTCTTTGGGGCCATAGATGATAGTCAGATAACTGATTCAGGTGAACCCGGTTGAATACCTGCCAGGTAACACAGTCGCCTTCAAACTTAAGGATTTTGCTTCTATCCAGTGGTTCTGAAATCACTTGTTTGCATGAATGTGACCGAACGTTGTAAAAAGTCATTTTTGTCTAGGTTTGGTTTCCTCCTCGCCACTGTATTGCTCACGGTTCATTTTCCGTTGATCTTTAATTCAATTATTTCTCCATCAGTGGATAGCTATTTGACCTAAATGAACTAACTGACTATCACTGAAGATGACACCCGGAACAAACATGAATTGGCGATTCGGTTGAGCCATGGTGGTCTGAGCTGGTTGGCACAGTGGTAACACATACACGCTTTCCATGCCCGATGGATCCGGATTTCAAACCTCGGACGGATAGACGGTGGATATGCACTATTGATGATGAGTTCTAATAAAAGCGAAACTCCATTAGTCTAATGCTTCTGAGTGTATGGTTGAATTGATGAACTGAGAATTCTGCGTGAAGGTGAAGCTCGAGTAGGGTAGGCAGTTGAAATCAATTAAACTAAACCCTTTCGGCACGGTGAGTACTTTCACTCACATTACCCCGAAAGAGATACATTCTGTGCCCACATAGAGATTAGTAGCCCGACAAACGAGATTCACTGTTTTGATCACCTGCGAACCATCTGGTCTTCATACTCACCACTTGTCACTTTTACACATCCTATGTCTACAGCCTATCTTCACCATTCCGGGACGAACGTATCCGGTGGAAATTCTATACAGCTTGGAACCCGAAAATGACTATCTGGATGCCGCGTTGAATACCGTCATGCAAATTCATTTGACCGAACCTCCAGGTGAGTTTTCCTTATTCCACCCGTTGTCCGGTTACGAAAAGTGTTCTCTTTGTCTCTGGTTTATCGCCTGATTCCGTATGTCAGCCTAGTTCCTGATGCTTGCGAAACACACTTGTTTCAACACATCCTCACCAAGTCATCCGTGTGTTCGATATGGTGTGTGAAATAACCGCTTCACGGTCTACTCACTGCTCATATTCACGGTTATTATGGGTGATTTAGCAAAGCTAACGCTTATCATGCCCCCCTCATATTTTGGACAACTCTACGAATAGAAAATAATAATAATAGTATTATTATTCATGATCACTCACTCATAGATGTTGAAGTGCTAACTGTTCCAATGCCTCATCAAACTGCAATTTGAATAAATCAGCTGTCGAAGCACGCACAACATGGGATGAAAGAGAATTCTAAACACTGCACTATATGACATGTAAGAGCATGACTAGGAATATCTGAAAACAATTGTTCGCTCACCGACTCGTTTTCCCAATGAAATAATTATCTTGAGATAAAGTCAACACAGAACGACAAGGGTAGTTAGGTTGATGCAGTATGTGGTATGTCAAGATTAAGTCCCATGAAATCGACAGTACTGAGATGAGCAATGCCCCAACATTTGCGGTCTTTCAGAGTGTCTTGCTAGATAGACCTTTCACCATTTTTGTTGCAAACCTTTGCGGAATTTCTAGAGCCTTCTTGTCGTGGTTCAACCATGGATTCCATACTTGAACGGCATATTCCATGCGTAGTCGAATGAACGCTGGAATCAAGCGTCGGAACAGTTCTTTTTCGAACTACTCGAAAGCACGTTTAAGTAGTCCAACTTGCTCTTGAGCCATAGAGGATACTCTGGCACAGTGCGTGGAATATCCTACGTCCTCCTGTACCGCAAATCCCGCATCCCTTTCGTCAGTGACATGCGGTAGTACTTGGTCCCCCAGAACACAAGAGAAACGAGTCTTGTGCGGCAAGGAAATAACTTTGCATTTGGAAACGTTTAATTAGATGCCATTAGCGATTGACCGTCGGTGGGCTGCGTTGATCGTTTCTTGGAGTGCCAAATAATCCTCTGGATGTTACTGTTTTCCAGCAACGTCAACTCAGAAATAGCCTTAAGAAAGATCGTGAAAATTGGTGGGCCGAAATAGCTAGTGAAATGGAGGTAGCTTCTGCATCAGGGAATAGTCAAAGACTATTTCACCTGATACGCAGCACCGGAGGTCGNTTTGCGATAAAAGTGGACAAAGCACCTACGATAAAGAACAACGACTTGATCGCTGGGCAGAGTATTTTAGTGAACAGTTCAATTGGCCTGGTGCTAATGTGGTCATTCCAGCAATTGTGGCGGAAACTCCTTGTGTAGTAACATGCGAGCCCCCATCAGAATCGGTAGTACTAAGCTGCATTCAATCTTTAAAAAAGGAAAGGCTGCGGGACCTGATGGCTTCTCCTTATTCTTCCCAAGGGGGCGGAGATTCTCTTGTTGACTCAATTTACTAGCTTACTTCGCAGCATTTGGACGGAGGAGCGTATCCCTTTGTCTTGGGGTGAATCGACGATCGTCCCTATTTTCAAGAAGGGATCACGTGACGACTGCGCCAACCATCGTGGGATTAGTTTAGTTCCGATAATCACAAAAGTGTTGACTTCTGTGATACTTCGCCGCCTGACACCCTTAAG